ACCTGCTTTATACCGGCTAAAAGTGAGAATTGTCCAAATTAGGAACGCTTTTCTGCGCCAAATTGCCCCTCACCCCATATATTGATGTTAAAAATAAGATTTTTAAATTCTCAACCAGTTTTCCTGGTGATGTGAAACCTTGTTTTTATTTACATTAAATATACATAACAATCACGGGTAAGGAAAAATCTGTTTCCACTCTCTAGAACAGCGGTCCCCAAACTTGGCAACTTTAAGACTTGTGGACTTCAACTCCCAGAATTCCTCAGGCAGCTCTCCGGAGAGCTCTGCTTTAGACATTCTGAGCCTTAGTGTCAAATTCCAAGTCTATATTGTGTTTGTCTAATGTTAACAATAGTTGTCTATGCCTTGGAATGTCCTTAATATAACAAATTAATTTAATATATATTAAGCATTAAGTTTGTACTCAGTTTCATAAATGATGTTGGGGAATTATAATGCACAAACATAACACATCTCTGCAACTCTTTAAAGCAGAGGTGGCCATCTGTAGGTGGGCCACAGAGAAATGTCACCCCCAGAGCACACCCCCCAAAGCAATTAATCCAGGCTGCATGGGAACAAGGCCGCCCACATGGCCTGCGGAAACACAAGGCCTGTGTTGCTTGCATCGCGAACAACGTGAGGTAATGAGGGGAGGAGGGGAAGGGTGGAGGGAGAGAACTTGCCCCACTCACCCTATGCACCTCGCCTGGCCCCCAGGCTGCTTCTTTCTGCTTCTTTTAGCTGCAAGCAAGGAAAGCAGCAAAAGTCTTTCTCTCCCCCAAACTCTGCCAGAAGAGAAAGAAAGATTCTGCTGCTTCTGCTGCTTTCCTTGCATGAAGCCAAAAGTCTCTCCCTCCCTCCCTCCCCCTGAAAACGGAGCTGGAAACGGTATCCTGCGATCCCAAATAAAGAATGATCGATCAGTAGAAAAATGGGGTGGGGGATTTTCCTGCAGACTTTTCCCAGGTCTCTGAAAATCCTAAAGAAAGCATGCAGGAAAATCCCCCACCCCGTTTTCCTACCGATCGCAGAATACTGTTTCTCTCTCTCTCTCTCTCTCCTCCTCCCCCTGAGAACAGAGCTGAAAAGCAGGTTAGGAATGCCTTGGAGGGGGTGGGGGTGTATGAGGACCTGTGTGTGTGTGTGTGTGTGTGTGTGTGTGAGAGAGAGAGAGAGAGAGTGAGAGAGAGAGAGAGAGAGGGAGAGGATATTCTGCGATCGGTAGGAATTTTCCTGCAGACTTTTTGGGATTTTCCCAAGGTCTCTGTCTGCAGAGACCCTGGGAAAATCCCCCCAAAAGTCTGCAGGAAAATCCCCAACCCCGTTTTCCTACTGATCACAGAATACCCACTCTCTCTCTCCCTCCCTCGCCCCCTCCCTCCCTCCCTCCCTCTCTCTCTCTCAGAACGAGTGGCCCTCAGGATTTAAAATTATGAGTTTGGTGGTCCCTGAGGTTGAAAAGGTTGGCGACCGCTGCTTTAAAGCAGCATAGTCTTTGCCTGGAATAATGGCAAGCAGTTGTATGATCTTTGAAAAATGTGCAGCTACTTCAAAAGTGGCTGATTGGGACTATATTCATGTTTCTTTTTTTAAAAAAACCCAAATTTTATTAATTTTCAAAGACAATACACAAACAAACAAAACATAAGACATAAAAACATAAAACATCTTTTCTGAAAGCTGCTTATTAAGTTTTAACAAAACGTCCGGTTTGCAAGGCTTTGGGGGAGGGGGGCAGGAATCCGCGATCGTGTGCGGTTCCTGCTGCGCTCGCTGCTGGAGTGCCCCCGATCCAGTTGGATTTGGCGGCTATAGTTATCCTGTAGAGATAACTGAAGAAAGGGGAGATCCGGGCAGGGGTCCGCAGGAATCGCAACCCCCCTCCTCAGCCGGCTTAACTCCCTTTTCCAAAGACAGTGGAGCGGCGGTCAGCAATGGCCACCACAAAGAAGCTTTCAGCCGGACAAGAATGTGCAGGAGGAAGCTGAGAAAGTGAAAGTTTTTGGCTGAACCCGGACAACAAGTAACATCTAAATATCCTGGAAATTCAGCTTTCTTAAAGATACATTGTTCCCTAAGAAGATTGTAAAAAGCGGCGGATGAAAGTGAAAAGGGAAAGTTTGTTTTTTCTCACTCTCCTTGCCTACGGAGATAGCAGATGGAAATCGGAAAAATCCGCTTTGGCAACAGAAGGTAATTAAATTTGAAAATTAAAGCCAAGGGGACATTAAAGATTTCTGAACATTGGAATTAAAAATTAAAATCTTTTTGCTATAAGTGGGAAGGGAGAGGTAAAGAATTTATATTAAGACTTTGCTGGAGGAGATTGCTTGGAGCTTATAAGATCAGAGATAAACTGTAATAAGACTTCTAAAAAATACATTTTGGAACTTTGTAATTGAATTCTACCCCAGGAAGAGAAAGTATAAAAAGAAGAAAGTGCTAAATGAAACTGTTTGTGTTGATTTGGATTGCTTGGTGACTTTGGGACTTTTGGAAACTATTTTTTGAAAGACTTGTTTAAAAAAAAATCTCACAATGGCATTATCTGTTGAAGAACTGAAAATGGAATTCAAAAAGCTAAAAGAAGAGGAACAAGAAGGCAAGGGCTCTTCTTGATTTGTTTTTCACTTCTTAGAAATGGCGATTTTTACCTACCAGGAATTACAACAACAAGAAGGCTGGGATGAAGAAGAAGAAGCCATCTTTAATGAAAAACAATTTTAGTTGAGGAAGAAAAGGGAAAGAGGGGAAAGAGAATGGAGAATTCAAGATTTAAAAAAACAACCAAGAAAGGGAAAAATAAGGTGAAAAATCGATACAATGTCAGAAAGCAACAGAAAAGAGGAATACAACAGAGAGGGGAGACTAAGAGGGCGGAGATTAAGAGGGCGGGGTAAAAAGGCTAGATTTGACAAGAAAGGAAGGGAAAAAGGGAAGAGAAGTTATAAAGGCTTGAAACAAGATGTTAAAAAACAGGTATTTTTCAGAGACAAAGGGTAAAATACAATTAAAAAAGAGATTCTGCAAAAGTACATAAGATTGTATTGTAATTATAAACTTATTATTTTCTTATTTTAAAATGTAGTACGTGGAATGTACTAAGCAGAATCAGAATGGAAATTATATATTATTTTAAGTGTTAAATTTAGGGGAAAGATAGAAAGGCGTCACACTTCAACCAGTGATTACAGGAGAAATTTTGTATTAAAGAGAAAAGATAAATAGATAATTGAAAAAGAACGGGCAAAAGATACAAGTATAATGATTTAAATTGAGATGAAATAAATAAAGTAGAATTAAGAGAGTGAAAAGAGGGGAGAAGACATATAGAAAATATAGAATGTTAAATAAGATATGAAATGGTATATAAGGTGAGCATGAATTTGATTTATGTCTGTACAAAAAGATGTAACCCGAGGCTAAGCCGCTTTCCAAAAGGAAGTTTTATGTTTTCATGTTTTGTGTTTGGTTTGTCTATGTTTGTTTATTGAAAATTAATAAAATTTTGGAAGAATGTTGGAAGAGAATATATGAAATTATAAACAAGACAGACAAAAGTATATTCATGTTTCTAAATATCCCGAAACACCTTTTTCATAATTATTTCCAAAATACTATACAACTGAACTGAAAATATGACTACCCTTGAAAAACTGAAAATTTAGTTGGTGCAAAAAGATTGGATCCTGCCTGTTCTGAAATTTCTATACCAGCTTTCTTCACATTTTAGCACATTTCATATTAGAGCATTTGTAACTGTGTAATGACATGTTATTACTATATTAGTCTGTGGTTTTATCTTGTTTCTATTGTTAACAGTGTTTTTAATTAATTTAATCTGTGCTTACTTTTTATCAGTAGACTGGCAAAGCCATCAGATCTGGGTTGTAAAAAGAGGAATGACCACTAGATGGCTGTAAAGAAATATTAATACACTAAATCTTGGCGGCCAACCTATCAGCATCTAGATGGAAAGGTATGGAAAGGTAGGAAAGGTTCAATGGAAAGGTAACATTCAAAATTATTTAAAAAATAGGTTAATTAGAGGCAGAGCAAATGACCAACAGTTCCTGTATAAAATTACTGGGGATCAAATAATATGCACACTTTTGAACAACAGGTAACTTTCATATAGGGATTAGTATTGCATATATTTCAGATTTCTGAGCATCTTTATTCTTAGCTAAGTATGAATAAACATTTAAGCAAAATCCAACATTGCTATAATATTTGGTTGTGGCTGTTATAAGTAATTGGAGAATAATAAATAGTAAATGCTATTCTGATAGTCTACTGTTTCTCCAAAGTTGTGTTCTATAATTAACATTGAGAGAAAAAAGGTTTCTAAAATCAACACTGAAAGCATTAAACCATCCTAATTTCCAGAGACCCCTGAGAATTACTGTTTTGCAATACATTCAATTCTCCATTACAAACCTTAATTACCCTTTACAGTACAGGCCATTTAACACTCCCAAGAGCAGACAGGTTGAAAGATCACATTATAACGTCTTTTCCAATATGGAAAAATGCATGGTATCTACATATAAAGTAAAATATGCAAATTTTATGCTGAATTGAAGTATTAATTGTTCTTCTTTTGTAAACTGATTTTCCCTATTACTGCATCTTTAGAGAGAAATTTAATTTGCAATCTAGTCTAGCAGTGTTACCGTTTACCATACATTACACTGCAATGCTAAGCTAAACTAAACTGTTTTTTTAAAATGAGGATTTTTTAAAAAAGATGTAAAATTGGTTGTCCATTAGCTATTTGTTGTTATTTATTTTGAAATGAATACTGATGCCCAGATAAGCTATGATAACACTGGGATTTCTCCATTACTGGAATTTTCCACTTGGATCCAGGGAATGTTTTAAAAATAGTTTTCTTGTGAATCTGTATATACTGTATATAAAAGCTGTATATAAAAGATTATATATTAACTCACAGTCTCTTTCTAGGCTACAGTACTTGCCCTCACCATTACATGAAACTCACCATACAATCGTCAGATCTAGCTAAGCGTTACTGGTGCCCATGTTGGGGGAGGGCTCATTTGTTATTACAGTTGCCTTTTATAAGTTTGATTTATTTTATTGTTTTTATTTTAAGTTGTTATAACTTGCCCAAAGTCTTTTGAGTTGGGTTGATCATAAAAAATGTAAAATATATAAAAGCATGGGCCTGAGGCAGCCAAGCAAGCAATATTTTTCCTATTTCTTCTTTCAAGTCTTTGTCACCCTGTGTTTTCACCCAAAATTTTGAAAGTGTTTCTTTTAGTCCTCTGTGTTGTCTGTATGCATGCTTTGGGTATTTTTTACTAGTTCTTGCAGCACAGGAATTGCAGCATTGTTTCAGGTTTTATAATGCGATTTTAAATGCTGATGTTCAGAGTTTTAGGAAACTTGTATGCCTGCTTTTCCTAATCCATTTTAATTTTCTGCTCTGTTTTGCAAATAGGCTGGAAAACTGCAGAATTATTTCTGTCCCCTGCCTTTCTGTATATCCTGTAGGAGGAGCTCAAAAGATTCCTCAGAACTAGCACTACTTTGGATAATGAAATGTCTGCAACAAAACAGCCAAGCTCATACCGTAGAACACCAAGGACTCTTCAGATTCTACAGAATAACAGAGTTGAAAGGGACCTTGTAGGTCATCTAGTCCAACCGCCAGGCTAAGCAGGAGACCTTACACATTTCTTTCTTTCTTTTATTTTTTTTAATTTTTACAACAAAAACAACAAATAAAAACCATCTTTCAATTGCACAGTGTGTCATCTGAGTACATGTATCTTGTGCACATAATAATATTTGTATATTTTTTAATAAAGTTTACATTCATGTTATATTCTAGTCAACATTATATTTCATATTTTATAATTATTACAGTATCATTAGGTTTTTTATTTCAATTACCATCTATCTTTAATAGCAAATCCCAACTCTTACTAAAATATATTCATATCATTACTTATTCAAAATAATCAATTACAATATATCATTGTTACTATATCCTTTAATTTCTTACTCTACTTTCTAACCATCCATAAAATAAGTCCCAAATCTTATCACACTCCTTCTCTTCTTGCTCTCTAATTGCCAGAGACCCTACACGATTTCTGACAGATGGCAGTCCAGTTTTTTCTTGAAAGCTTCCAATAGTGAAGCTCCCATGGTCTAGAGTACACATTGATTTTGCAGGACCAACTAAAGGACACACATTTTTTAAAAAAATGGTTTATTAATTTTTACAATTAAAACCAGTCACAATACATACACAAATAAGCAAAAGAAAAAAAAAGAAAGAAAAGAGGAGAGGAAGAGAGGGAAAGAATTTTGAGAAAAGAAAGAAAAAGAAAGAAAAAGAAAGGGGGAAGAAAGAAAGAAAGAAAGAGGTTACAAGGTAAAAAGTATTCTTATTTTAACAGTTTGCAAGATCTTTTGTTTTCATAAACTTAACTTGTGTCATATAACCACACCTGATTTTAGCTTATATCACTACCTCGTTATTATGGGTTGATACTTTTCTTTTATGCCTTATGATATATAATTTATCTTTGGTCAATCCAATTATACCAACAATTCCAGCTATCGTAGTATAGTGAAGTGTCTTTGTTTTTTAGCGCCAAAGTCAATTTATCAATTTCTGCGCATTTTGAGATTTTTTCAATAATCATTTCTTCTGATGGAATTTGATGTTGTTTCCAGTGTTGAGCAAAGGCTAATCTGGCTGCCATTAAAATGTGTATTGTTATGTATTTTGGCTTTTTTGGAAATTTGCTTATCAAAAATCCCTAGTAGGAAGGACTCTGGTTTGTATTCGATCTGCTCTTTGGTAATTTCTTCCAACCAAGTTTTGATTTTCTTCCAATACTTTTGGGTTTCTGCACAAGACCACCACATATGGAAAAAGGTTCCTTCTTTTTTCCTACATTTCCAGCAATGTGGACTCATGTTGGGGTGCATCTTCGCTAACCTCGAAGCGGGGAGATGCCATCTATAAAACATTTTATAAAGATTTTCCTTGTATGCTGTCGATTTGGTAATCTTATTGTTTCTTCCCCAAACTTTCTCCCATTCCGTTAATGTGATGCTGCGCCCTACGTTCTTACTCCAAGCAATCATATTTCCTTTACAATTTCTTCTTCTAGTTCTGTTTCTAATAAGTAGTTATAAAATTTTGTTATTTTTTTTTATTTGATCCTAATAAAATTTTATCTAATTGTTGCAGTTTGTTATTAATTCTGAATTCTTTTTTGTCTTGTTTGTATCTGCTTTGAATCTGAAGGTAAACCCAAGGACATTTTATGTCCTTGCTCCTGAAGATCCGGCCTCGGTTTCAAATTTCCTTGTGGGTCTAATAAGTCTTCATATTTAATCATTTTGGTAAGCTCCAAATTGTTTGGGTGAATCATTGCCTCCATTGTTGAAATCCATACTGGTACTTTTGTATAATGTTTTTTCCTTATTTTCCTCCAAATTGTTAATAGTGCATCTCTAATTAAATGTCTATGGAAATATTTTTTACTGGTTTTCCCTACGTCCCATAGAAAAGCGTGCCGCCCACTTTGTAAATCGTGGCCTTCTAGAAATAGTATTCTTTTATTGGTTAAATTCACCCAATCCTTCAACCAAATTAACGAGGTGGCCATATGGTATAACTCCCAGTTTGGAAATGCTAACCCACCCCTGCTCTTCATATCCTGCATTGCTTTTACATTTATTCTGGGTTTTTCCCCTTGCCAAATAAATTTCAGGGTTATTCTATTGAGTTCTTCAAAAAACTTTTTATGTAATTTAATTTGGATCATTTGGAATAGATACAAGAATTTGGGGAGAATGTTCATTTTAATAGTAGCAATTCAGCCTAGTAGTGAGATTTGAAGTTTCCCCCACTATTCTAAATCTTTCTTTACTTGGTGTATCAGTTTATCATAATTGTTTTCTTTAAGTGTCTTACAGTGTGGTGTTAGCCAAATTCCTAAGTATTTCACTTTCTTTGTCACTTGTATATGCATCATTTCTTCTAGTTCTATTTCCTGTTTTTCTGTTAGGGTTTTGATCATTAATTTGGTTTTTTTAAAAAATTTATTTTAAGTCCAGCTACTGCTCCAAATTTCTCTAATTCACTCATCAATTTTGGTCCCCTGTCTTTTGGTTCTTCAATGAAGAAAATCATGTCGTCCGCAAATGCTTGCAATTTATATTCCTCTTTCTTAACTGTTAATCTCTTTATATCTGAATTCCACCTAATTTGTGTTAATAATGTCTCTAATGCTAATATGAAGAGCAGGGGAGAGAGTGGACAACCCTGTCTCACTCCTTTTTCTATCTTTATTGGGCGGGTGCATTCTCCATTCACTATTATATTAGCTTGTTGTGTATCATATATAGTTTTAGCTTGTTGTGTATTCATATATAGTTTATAATATTTTCAAATTTGGTGCCCAAATTCAAATTATAAATTTTTTGAATTAAAAATTGCCAATTTAGATTGTTGAAAGCCTTCTCTGCGTCTAGGAACATAAGTGCTACTTGTTTCTCGGGGTGGGCTTCGTAAAATTCTAGTACGTCTAATACTATTCTTAAATTGTTCTTTATTTGCCTAGTTGGGAGAAATCCATTTTGGTCTATATGTATATACAAGTTTAAGATCCTTTTTAATCTGTTTGCTATAATAAGTGTGAATATTTTGTAATCAGTATTTAAAAGTGAAATCGGCCTGTAATTATTTATATATCTGGGATCTGTATCTTCCTTTGGGATCAGTGAGATCAAGGCCCCCCTCCATGAGTCCGGCATCCTGGCTGCCAGTAAACGTCATTAAAGACTTCCACCATAAGTGGTCCGATTTGATCTGCTATTGCCTTGTACAGCTCCCCTGGGATCCCGTCTGGGCCTGGGGTTTTATTATTTTTCTGGCTCTCTATTGCTGATTTCAATTCCTATTCAGTAATGTCTTTATTTAATAGTTCAGCCATTTCTTCCCCAATTGCCTTATCGTTTACTTCATCTAGATAATTCCTTATTCTATCTTCACTGACGTCCTCTCTTTTGTATAAATCTTCAAAGTATTTATGAATGATTTCTTTTTTCTGTCCTATTTCCTGGTATGTATCTCCTTTGCTATCTATTAACTGGTATATCAATCTCTTCTCTTTCTTTTCTTTTAATTTGTAAGATAGCCATCTTCCTGGCTTGTTGGCATGTTCAAAATAGGTTTGTCTGGTTAAATTCAAATTCATAATCATTTTCTTTTGATCAATTAAATTCAGTTTGTGTTTGGCTATACTTACCTGATTTTGCAGTTTGGGTTCTTTTGGGTTATTTTGTAGAAGGGTTTCTAGCTCCTTAATTCTTTGTTGTAATTTGTTTTGTTGGGAATATTTTTCCTTGTTTCTCTTGGTGTTATAAGAGATTGTTATGCCTCTTATAACCGCCTTCATCGTATCCCAAACATTTTGTTTTGTGGTTTCTCCGTTATCATTTTCTTTTATAAAAAAATTCAATTCCTCCTTTAATTTATTAATGTATTCTTTCTCTCTTATTAACTGAGTGTTTAAGGCCCATCTTTTCTTTGGTTTTGCCCTGCCCTTCCATATTACCTGTATTGGATTATGGTCTGCCCATTCATTAGGCAAAATTTCCACTTCTTTTGTCTCGTTTGCTATTTCCCCACTCATCCATGCCATATCAATCCGTGTCCATGTTTGGTGGGGATTTGAATAAAATATATATTGTCTTTTTTCAGGATGTAATCTTCTCCATATATCTGTCAGATTTAGCTCTTTCATCATTTCCCTACAAATCTTGGGGAGCTCTCTCTTCCCCTTTTTATTCTTCCCGGCATTACTGTGATCATTTTGGAAATCAGCAATGGAGTTGAAGTCCCCTACTATGCAAATATTTCTTTTTTGCAATTCAACCAATTTTCTATATAGGTGTTTAAAAAACTCTTTTTGGTCTCCATTTGGGGCATATATTACTACTAAAAGAATTGGAATATCATTAATCCAGATCTGCAAACCCAGAGTCCTTCCTTCTAAGTCCGACCATATTAGCTCAGATTTCAAATCCTCTTTCACATATACTGCGATTCCCTTCTTTTTCTCTTCATCTGCTGGTGTGGTAAATAACTTTCCTAATTTCGGGCATTCTAAATATTTTTCATCCTTCTTCTTTATATGGGTTTCTTGCAGGCACGTTATATCTGCATTATGTTTAATTAATTTAGATAATATCCTTTTTCTCTTAATTGTCGAATTTAAACCATTTATGTTTATTGATAGTAATTTTTTTTCTTCTCCCATCTATTTAGTTTTGTTTCGCTCTTTGTCGTGTAACAATTCCTCTCTCTTCTTGCGCTTGTGTTAATGTGGTTCCTTCTGTCTTTTGTTGTGGATAGATATTCTCTTGGTTTCCTACCATTCCAGTTCTATTTTTATGTCCACCGTATTCTTCTTGAAAATTTGTGTCCAATTCCTCCCTACTACTTTGCTCCTGTGGGCCGACCATCCGTTCGTAAAAATCCTGGGCTTTTTCCATAGTGTCTATTTTGATTTTCCTCTCTTTCCACGACACTAACATTCCTTCTGGAATAAGCCATTTAAATGTAATTCTTTTTTGATTTAAATATGCTGCCAGAAATTTATAGTCACGCCTTTGTTCCCTTATTCTCCTTGGTATCTGTTTAAGAATCACAATTTCTTTCTCTTTGTAGGTTATTGTTTTATCTCTTGAGGTTCTATATATCATGTCTTGAACACATCTTCTAGTGAATCATATGTGTACTTCCCTGGAACATTTGTGGCGTCTTGCATAGTTTGTATTGACCCAGTAGACTTCATCAAACTCTTTTTGAATTTCATTTTTATCCATCTTCAATAAACTGGCCAGTATTTCTGCCATCAAGTATTCCAGGTCTTCTTCTTTTGATTCTGCCACATTTTGGAATCTTAGGTAAGTTGCTGCCTTGTCCATTTCTAGGAGGATGAGGGAGTCCTCCATTTCTTTGCTCATGCTTTTTAGATCTTCATCCACCCTTCCTAATTCCCTTTCCATTCATTCGGTTCTTTTCTCTACTTCTTTTATTATAACTTCATTTTTCTCCAAGGCCTGCTGCAACACCCCCACTTTATCCTCTACTTTGGAAATGTCCACTTTCATTTCTGTCTTTAGTTTCCCCATTTCTTCCTGCAATTCATTGATATCTGCCCTTGTTTCACTATGGTTTTTAATCATTGTTTCTTGCAATCTTGTCAATGAGTCCTGTAAGGTTAGGAACATTGCTTGAATATTTGCATTCGAGATGCTAGTTGACTTCTCTGTTGGTAGTGTTTCCTCTATTGTTTTTTGTGCCATAGGTGAAGTTGTTGCCAAAGTGGTCGTTATTGTGGGATTAACCTTCCTACCAGATTTCAGAGCAGTGATAGTTGTAGAAGTCATTTCCTTTAAAATTTGTTTTTGTTGTTACACAATGCTAAATATTTTATTCCAAATTGGCATTCAGTATTCTTAGTTCTGTAACTAAAATTGACCAGGATCTAACAATCTATTAAGTAACTATATTCTTAACTAATTAGTAAAGTGTATATATATTTCTCTAGTTTAACTTCAATATAAAGTAACCTTAACTACACAATATATTACATTCACAGATACACCCACACAATGAAATATAATATTGGTCTAGAGAGCTCTAAGATTGTTAAATAACTAATGCTTAATATTCTTACTGTCTCCCCTATATTCCCATTCAAATTATAACAATCTCTATTAATAATAACTTAACTAAATTAATTAATCCAATATTTTAACACTCTAATATTTCTTTGCTAAATGTACATATTTATCAAGAGGAAATCAGAGAAAAAAAGCAAGCATATTTCAACATAGCATACCATCAACAAGTAGGAAAGAAGAGAGGCTATTTTAGTAAGTATGTACACACAGAAAAGGGTAGAGGAAAAGAAAAAAGAAAATTCCAAAGACAAGAGTTTTTGTTTCTGCTTTTCACTTTGGAAGCTTCCACTTCGAGCACACCGGAAATGGCAAATGAAGATTTGCTGATTAACAGCTGCCAGTAAGCAATGTTCCCACTCATTTAAAGACTTCCTCTTTTACTTATATTTTAGTGTTCTTTAAATCAATTGTTCTGATCTCCTTCAAATAGAGAAAGGAACTGTCTTCTCTGCTAGGACCGGTTCTCAATTTTCCCAGAGTTTATAGATTAGATTGTGTCCCTTCAGACAGTTAGATCTGTTACTTTGTTGTAGCCACTTCAGCATTCTGGATACCGCCTATGGTGCCGCTCTGTCTTTTCCCCTGATCGGCTTCATTCTGCTTCTGGCTCCGATTTAATAGCTTCAATCCAAATATTAATGATAATAGAGTCTTTTTAATTGCCCCCCCCCCATGCTGGTCTTCAGACTTCCAAAATTCTCTTTACTTCTTTTTTATTTCCAACTCTCTTCTGCCTGCCAAGCTCCTTCACTTTCACTAGACCAATTCTTTTGTAGCTGCTTTCTCTTAGTGCTCACAGCAGGCATTCACACAGTATTTAACAGCCTGAAATCAGTCTATTGTCAGTCAAATATCTTCTCTGCCACTGTCTTTAACCACGACTCTCTTTTCCCTCGAGCTTGCAAACTTTCACTTACTCTTTCCTTCCCATCGGTGGCAGTCCCGACTTTGGAGCCTCCATTGACAGGAGGCTTTCCTTGATCGTTGGGCTCTGGAGGGCTTCCTCTTCATTGCAGGGGGGTTGCTTTCCCCACACTGCAGTCCGAGGTTCCCCCACACCAGCACAGGTCTCTCCAAGACTCGAGCACCCCAAAAGATTGCACCAAACTCAAGAAAAGGATGGCTAGAATCACGAGTGGATTTCTGCCCCTCTGACCGTCCTTGCCTTGCCACCAGAAGTCAAAGGACACACATTCTTAATAGTCGCAGATGCTTACTCAAATTGGCTAGAGGTAAGCATCATGCACTCAACCACAACAGAAGCTGTTATTAGACAACTAAGGAAACTTTGCAACACATGGATTCTGGATTTAGTTGTATCCGACAATGGACCACAATTCATGGCAATAACACCCGAAGGGTTCCTGGCAGAACAAGGGATAAGGCATGCACTAACAGCACCGGGACATCTGGCTATGAATGGACGGGCGGAACCCATGGTCAGTTACACAAAGGAAACACTACACAAATTGGAACCTGGAGATATACAAGAAAAAATAGACAAACTATTAAGTATACAACACATGACACCTAACACACAACAAATAAAAGCCCAGCAGAATTATTAATGGGAAGGAAACTAAGATCAAACCGAGAGAGACTACACCCCACGTATAGCTCAGAAAAGCCAGCAGACTCTTCAAGTAAGTGTCGCACATTCAAAACAGGGGACCTAGTATATGCAAAGAACCTCACAGGGGAACCATTGTGGATACCAGCAAAAATAACCCAAATAACGGGGCCCCGGTCATACAGGGTAGACACTGAGAACAGGAGGAACTGGAGGAGACACATAGACTAAATTAGATCAAGAACCACACTGAGAAACACAAACAATCATGTGGGGAGGGGAGACCCCTCAAACACAAGTGGAATGGGTGAGGGAGACCTTCCACAAACCTCTAGCAAAAACAACCCAACCAGAGAGGGGGCAGACCCCTCAAACACAAACAGAAGGGGAGGGGGAGACCCTCCACAAATAAAAGAATTGACAAAACAAACCCTAACAACTGCACAACAACCAATACTAACATTAGCCCCGATCGGAATTTGCAAACACGTACCTGAGACCATAGAAGAAAACAACTTGGGGAGACTGGAGCAGGCTTTGAAGAACCATCAGGAAGCCACTCCTGGCAGGAGCGGCTGACCCGACTCAACCAGCCAGGAAAGTCCTGGTGGGAGCAACATGGCCGACTCTACCTTCCAGGAGGTTCCACGGAAAAGGACGGGAGAAACAGCAACCCTGTCCGAACAGGTTAGAGGTGAATTCACGAACTCACGACTGAGTTGCGCAGGTCCAGTAGGAAGCATAAGAGGCCCAGCTACGTACGTGACTATGTAATATAGGCGGGGCATGGATTAGTTAGACTGGACCACATGGGGAGGGGTGTTATATATTTGCATACTTACTTATGATGAGTAGGTCCGTGGCAGCGGGAGATTTGAAGAGCTGTCATTGGCCATGAGCCGCAAGCAGCCGGCTACAAGAAAGGCTGCCATGGTTTCTCCACACTTGGATCCTAGAGGAAAATAAAGAGTATAAAAAGTCAACTGGGTCCCGAGTCTCTTTTCCTGCAACGCAACAAGACTATCCGTGCTGTAACTATACTTCATACTGTGTGTTTTAGCTTCTAGTCCCCTAATCATCTTTCTTGCTGTTCTCTGCACTCTTTCTAGAGTTCAACATCACTTTTAAACTGTGGTGACCAAAACTGGATGCAATATTCTGTGTGGTCTTACTAAGGCTTTATAGAGTGGTATTAGTACCTCCCTTGATTGAATCCCTCTGTTAATGAAATTAAGGATTACATTGGCTTTTTTGGTTGCTGCTTCACACTGTTGGCTCATATTTGATTGGATGTCCACTAAGACTCCAAGATCCCTTTCACAGTTCCTGCTATTAAGTCTGGTTTCTCCATGTGTACTTTTGGTGTACTTATGGTTTTTCTTGCCTAAGACTTTACTTTTCTCTACATTGAATTTCATTTTGTTAGTTAGGGCCCAATGTTCAAGCCTATCAAGATCCATCTGGATCTTGAGCCTATCACCTAGGATGCTACTCCTGCCAGTTTAATAATCATCTGCAAATTTGATAAGTTCCCCTTCTATTCCCTCATCTAAGTAACTTATGAAGATATCGAAGAGTCCTGGACCTCAGACGGAATCTTGTGATAACCCACTGCTTACTTCCCTCCATGTAGACCTAGTACTTTTAAGGACTACTCATTGAGTAGAGTTTGTCAGCCAGTTACAAATTCATCTGATGGTGATGCCATCTATCCCACTTTATTCTAGCATAGCTTAGAAGTAGGCTGTGGTTTACTCTGTCAAATGCCAGTCTAAATATACTATGTCCACAGCATTTCAATGGTCTACTAATGGTCACTATCTGGTCACAAAGAAATCTGCAGCAAAAATGAAGCAGATGAATACAATGGGCAGCCCGAGCATGAACAAAGAGAAGAAGACAGAAGGAACCCAAAAGCACGCTGCCACAACCTCTCACCATGAGGACATCGAATCATCAACCAATTCAGGTGACGAAGACGAGGAAGTAAACAGGCTCTACTCAGAAAGGAACTGGAGAGAGAGACGAAGCAGAAAACTCGAGTTCCAGTGTGCGGGTTGCGGCGGAAACCACCCAAGATCTGAGTGTCGATTCTTGGATGCCACATGCCGGCATTATGAGAAATGGGGGCACATTGCGAGGGTATGCCGAAACAAAAAGAGCTATAACCCAAAGGGACGAGGCAATATCCCCCCAGAAACAAAGAAAGGTCAACGGGAAGCCGTTGGAGCCGAGATGGAAAAAGTCAACGACTAAATGAAAAGGAAGAAATGCATCAAACTATCACAATTGGGATGGCCAGAACAACAAACACTAAGAAGGTTCGAATCAACGTCCTGATAGAAGGCAAGCCGTGCGAAATGGAAGTAGACTCTGGTTCGCATTTATCAATGGTGTCATGGAATACAATAAAAAGTTTGATACCCGACATAAAACGAAGAGAACTTGAGAAGCAAAGCCTGATCATCAAGGAATACCAGGGTAACAAGATACCAGTAGTGGGACTGGGACACTTCAAAGTAAATTTTAAAAGGCACACTGAGATCCTGCCATTAACCATCGTTGACAGAGATTGGCCCAGCCTGCTCAGTTTGGAATGGTTCGAACCGCTCGGGATCAAGGTGACAGGAATAAACACCACCACCATGACTGACTGGGAAAAAGACCTGATGGAAGAATTCCATGATGTGTTTGACGGGACCTTAGGCAAGTACCGTGGGACCCCTATATCGTTTAACTTAAACCCGAACGTAGCTCCAGTTAGACTCAAAGCCAGACGGGAACCATTTGCACTAAGACCTAAAATTGATGAACAACTAAACAAACTAATCGCTCAGGGGGTTCTAGAGCCAACCGACCATGCCAGATGGGAGACCCCAATTGTAACCCCTATAAAACCTGACAGGTCTGTGCGCATCTGTGGTGACTATAAGGCCACCCTGAACCACGCATTGCAACAGAGCGCATATCCCGTTCTGGTAGTCCAACACCTGTTGCATTCATTGGGGAGAGGAAGGATTTTTGCAAAACTCAACCTCGCGCAGGCATATCAACAATTACCCATTGATCCTGAAACAGCTGAGGCACAAACCATCGTAATGCATAGAGGAGCATTTAAATGTAATAGATTACAATTCGGTGTAAGCGTGACCCCTGGCATTTTCCAGAGCCTAATGTAACGCCTCCTACAAGGACTAAAAGAGGTGGTACCCTACTTCGATGATGTACTAATATCAGCTGAAAACAAAAAACAACTAAAAGACCGCTTAAGGGCAGTTCTGACAAAATTTAGAGAAGCAGGACTCAAAGTCAAAAAAGAAAAATGCCAACTTGCCACAAACCAGGCCGAGTTCCTGGGATACCTTATTGATGAAGCAGGAATCCACCCCACTAAAAAAAAAACACGAGCAATAAAGGAAGCTCCCAGACCCAAGAACAAAACGGACTTACAAGCATTTTTTGGGACTCATTAATTTTTATCATGTCTTTCTGCCACAGAAGACAATGGTAGCAGAACCACTGCATAGACTCCTTGATGAAAAAGCCAACTGGAAATGGGGCCACCAAGAGGAAACAGCGTTCCAAAAAATTAAAGACTTAATTACATCAAAATCGGTATTGATTCAATACAGTGACACACTACCTCTAACTGTCACCTGCAACGCTTTGCCCTTCGGAATAGGCGCAATACTCAGCCACACACTACCAGATGGCAGAGAAGCACCAATTGCTTTTTATTCCAAAACATTGTCCAAAACCGAAACAAGCTACAGTCAATTGGACAGGGAAGCCTTGGCAGCCATCTTGGGGGTGAAACGTTTCCACGAATACTTATACGGTAGGACATTTTCTTTGATTACTGACCACAAGCCGCTATTGGGAATCCTAGCCGGAGATAGGGCAACCCCCAATATCCTGTCCCCAAGAATGACTAGATGGTCAGAATTTCTGGCAGCTTACAATTACAAACTCATTTATCGCCCAGGGAAAGCCATATCCCATGCAGATGCTTTAACCCACTCACCACTACCAGGTCATGATGATGATCCAGCTCCCACCACACAGACCCTACAAATTGAAACGATTCCAAATTGGCCAATCACCGCATCAGATATCGCAAGGGAAACAGCTAAAGATGACTGATGGCCTGAATATTGGCCGGAAAACATAAAAACCGAGACTTTTAAACCATTTAAAAACCGACAAACTGAATTATCACTGGAAAAAGGGTGAATTTTGTGGGGAGACAGGGTGGTGGTTCCAAAAATGTTACAAGAAAAGGTGCTAACCATGCTACTCGAAGGACACCCCGGCATGTTAAAAATGAAGTCCCTGGCCAGAAGCTACATTTGGTGGCCAGGAATAGATAAAGACATTGAAACCTGGGTTAAAACATGTAACAAATGTCAATCTTCCAGACCCAAACCCCCTTCAGCATCTGTCACTGAATGGGAGACACCCAGAGGCCTCTGGTCATGAATCCATATGGACTTCGCCAGCCCCACAAAAGGTTATACTTACCTGATCATCGTGGATGCCTATTCCAACTGGTTGGAAGTTGTCATCATGAGTTCAACAACAATAGAAACCATCACCAAACAACTAAAAATACTTTTCGCCACCCACGGTCTACCAGATGTAGTAGTATCGGACAATGGGCCACAGTTTACAGCCTTGGCTTTTGAACAATTTCTTGCAGAACACGGAATACAACATGCTTTGACAGCGCCAGCTCATCCGGCGGCGAACGGAAGAGCGGAACGCATGGTTCGTTACATGAAAGAAGCATTGGAGAAGCTTGACGGAAATGATATGCAAGAAAAACTCAACACCATTCTCACCATCCAACATATAACAACATGCACGCCTATGAACAAGAGCCCGGCTGAACTTTTGATGGGAAGAAAGTTGCATTCTTATTTGGATAGACTGCACCCTATTTA